GCGTAGGATGGTGCAGTGCTTCCTCTCTCAAATGTAGACCCTGGAGACAGAAACGGTCAGCTCTCAGACAGTCTGCGGGAGACTGAGTCACAGAACTAATTTGGTTTCCAAGCGAGGAGTAAACTGACAGTAATGAGATGCATTGCAAGTTATGGGCACTGTCATAAGGAAACTGTATGAAATAGCTTTGGCTTGAGTGATTCTTATCAGCTGCTGTAATGGCAGCAAGCCATACAGTATCTACACATGTTCTTGTGCTTTCGTGATCCAATGACAGAAATTGCGAAAAAGAAGTAAAAATAAATCCTATGATTATGTGGCTTCTGTGGTCCTGAAACTAGAAACAAAATAGGAAAGCCTTGCTGGGCTCAGAACGTGATCTTAGAAAACTTCATTTAATTGTTTGATGTTTCTGGTGATCTGACACACCCACATTGATGCCTTAGTTACAGTGAAAATAAAAGCTTTCTGAACAACTTAATTGATTTGTAATTAATAATCTTTTACAGTAAAATGAACGTTTAATCTCACTGGTTCAAAATTAATATAGAAATAATATAAAAGCTTAACACAAGAATCTGATTTCTGAAAATGTATACACAGAATTGCAGATCACAGTTGGATCAGTGATGGTTTTCTGAGCAGTGAGCCTCCCGGGCTCTTCAGTTGACTTGAACTCTGTCCGTTCTCACACAAATACAGTTGATCTTTTTCATTTCAATCACTTTTGTCACATGCTTTGAAGTCAGTGTTACTGCAGCTCTAGAGTGCAGCAGCAGTAAAGTAATATATATTTCTGTTTTAGGATATTGCTACATCCAACAAGCCAGAAGGTTAATAAGGAATAGATGGCCCTTGAGTAAATAATTTAGTAGACAACAAACCAGTAGTAGAACTGGTGCATTAAACCAGTGGGTTAGAGAGGTCCTTATAATCTAGCCCGTCAAATGATAATAATATGGGTGAGAATTGTGAGAATGCAGGATCACAGTATTTCTCCAGTCCAGTGAGTGTGCAAATCCAGTATGATATGGAGTGACAGTCTGAGCTTTAAGAACAGGTGTTTAAATATGTACTTTATGAGTTTTGGGCAGTCTGGTGTCTAGGTGGGCTTGTGCACGCTGAAAGCACCTCCTGTTCTTGACTTTTGCTTGATGAACGTGTTGGAGCTCAGGATCCTTCCCATGTGCCCATGTCCTTGCAGGCCGGGATCTTCAGCATGTACGCCTGTGAAGAAGGCTTCGCCACGGGTGGCCGGGACGGGTGCATCCGGCTCTGGGACATCGACTTCAAGCCCATCACCAAAATCGACCTCAGAGAGGCTGAGCAGGGATACAAAGGTAGGTAGAACAGGGGGGCGTGTCTGTGGTTTCTACAGCAGCTGTTGTTCCAGTGTCACCTTCAGCCTAAGGGTCTAAGGCAGGGGTTCCCAGCCCTGTTCCTGGACACCCACACAGCTGCTGGTTTTTATTCCAGCCAAGCTCTCAGTTACACAACAGAAGTATCAATTGACTTAGTAATAGAAGCGACAGGAACTGTTTGTTTTCAGCTTTTAAATGTATTTGCTGTTACCTTTTAACAATTGCATCTTGTAAGTAAAACAAAAGCCCAATTGCAAATATTCCAGTCAGGCCACCCGTTAGTTCAGTTAAGGCTTTGATTAGATATTTAAGCTGGGCTGGAATGAAAACCAAGGGGTGTGGTCCTCTAGGACCGGGATTAGGAGACCCTGGTTTAAGGGTCACCCAGCAGCCATATCACCCTGCAGCTCACAACTAACAACCCCCTGAAGTGAGTGTGATCAGTACCTGGATGGGAGACCTCCTGGGAAAAATTAAGGTTGCTGTTGAAATAGGTGTTAGTGGGACAAGTAGGGGCCTGCAGTCTGCAGTCAATTTCCCATTGGCCTTTACCAGTTATGGCCTCCTAATAACCCTCATCTGTGAACTGGCTTCATCACTCTGCTCTCTTCCCCACTGAGAGCTGGTGTGTGGGGAGTGTACTGGGGCACTATGGCTGCCGTCACATCATCCAAGTGGGGCTGCACACTGGTGGTGGAGTGGAGTGTCCAGAAAAGCGCTATATAATTGTAAGCAATAATTATAATGGTAAGGCTTGTGGGAATACGGAACAAACTACCTAGCCCTGTTGAAGCTGATACGCTGTTTTCTTTTATGAAATAGCAGGACGAGACCCTCCAGTTAACTACTAGCAACCCAATGGGCTTGATGGGCTGAATGGACACCTCATGTTTGTTATATACTGTACCCTGGATTGTTGTGATTTAATAATGTGTTAACATGTGAGAATATGTAGCATCGAGGGGCGAAACAGTTAATTCACAATAGCAAATGGAGTAAATTCTTAAATGAAGATGAAACTTTAAACCTCATTCTTAAAATGAGTGCCCTGAAAGATTTATGAAGCACTTTACTTCTTCAGTGTTGCATGAATTTAGCAGGGGGTTAAATGTTTTATTAATATGCTGCTCCAAGTCCAAACATTAAATCAGATCCCAAGAAACAGAAGTTTTTTAATTTCATGGAGAGTGATCCTATGCTGATCCCCATTGCCGTGTTCACAGTGGCATGGGCTGGGGGCAAGATTAAAAGAACTTGAAGATCTATTCATACATATCCACTCCTAAAAGGTGACTTTTTGTTCACGTAATTGATATTAGATTGGAAAGATAAATAATTTATGTGCAAAGGCCATATGCATCTGCTTTTCCACGCACAAGGGGTTTTTCTGCAGGTGGCTCAGTTGGATTTTGATGTGTAATTAACTTACAAAGCAATTTGGCTTCTGTGCTTCAAGAGAAAAAATCATCCTCATTAAGCCTGCATCAGACTGGCGTCCTGAGCTGTCATTAGCTGACATCCGTGGAATGTTAAGGAAGACTGGGCACAGGGATGAAGCATTTTACTTTAACAAAGTCCAGAAAGACACAGGGTAGGAATATCAGATGGGTTCAGGGGTCATTAACAATGAATGTATCTTCTGCTCACTTTTGTTTTGTTTAAGATAGATGTAAATGTGGGTTTATATGACTGAATCAGCTATTAGAGTTATGAGCTTCAGAAGAATTCCAAGCATCAATGCACGTCTTTAGATACAGGAGGAATGTGACAATTCATAGGCATAAGGAAATGAGAAGAATTGCCGCGATCGCGTAAGGGTGGAATTTTCTTTTTGGCTACCTTATTTCAATCACAAAGTGAAAATAAATATTTTATATGGTATATATTCATGATATAAAAACAATGAAAAAGCTGAAGATGCTGACTGGATGCATAACTGCTTACAGTGACAACAGTACAAAGGTATCCAGTCTTTAATGGTCAGCTAGGTAGAAAAGATAAATGGAAACTCCGACCTATCCCACATTTTGGGATTCTTCACGCTTGTTTACTTTTTCAGATTTTTTCACATTTCACATCAAGTACTGAAAAGGCAGTGCTGGAAGAATTCTCCGAGTCTTCAAAGCCCGCACCCGTCTTAAATATTTATGGTTGACCTTTCTGTGAAAGCAGATCTACGGATATTCACCAGTCTGTCTTCACAAATTCTTAATAGGGTTGTTTTCCAGGTTAAAAATGAAATGAAATCCAATACACAAATTCTATTTAAACATTACTTGCCAAAGGGGAAAACTAACTAATTGCCAAGTGATGTAGAAGTTTTCTTTTATTGTTCTGTTAGAAGGAGCTGCATTTCTGTTAGATGGCTATAAATGTGTGCTTTACCACAAGGTGCTGAAGCAGCTACTCCAGCAGTAAGACTTCTGCGTGTTTGTTGACAGTGAGAAAATTGGAAGGAAGGCACTTTTTTGTTCCTGTTTTCTTTTGTCAGATCTTTGCATCTCTTAGAAAATTCTACAAACGTTGGGGATTTATGCAAATTTTCCCATTTCACGCAGGTGTTTATTTAAACAGCCTGAGCATGAAGATTCCAATCTATGCAGTGCACTCTGAATTACTGACAGAGTGCTGCAGCTAAGTGTGTTATTAAACATCATTATGTCTAGAGATGTATGATAAAACATGAGCAAAAATATGATTTAAAATAGTTATACAAGTAAATGCTTACTACTTCTTCTAAGTCTGTGCAATTCTGCAAATCATTTATAGTTCAATTGGATAAATCTGATGTAATCAACGTTTGGACAAAGATCTGTTCCTTTTGTTACTCGGCAACGTGTTCCTCTCCTGCAGCACCTGTGCCTGCACACAGAGCTTTTGGAGCCTGACTCAGGTCCTGTCTTTGTGTCCGTCTGCGTCAGGATTGTCCATACGGAGTGTGTGCTGGAAGGCAGACCGCATCCTGGCAGGGACACAGGACAGTGAGATTTTCGAGGTGATGGTGCGGGACCGGGACAAGCCACTGTTGATAATGCAGGGTCACTGTGAGGGAGAGCTCTGGGCCCTGGATGTCCATCCCAAGAAGCCTCTGGCGGTGACAGGCAGCGATGACCGATCAGTGAGGTCAGTGTTCCCCCATTCTATACCTAATGCTGTCTCACTCACATGTGTCACTGTCCTGTCAGTGTGCTGTGACACTTCACTAATTGCCCTACTCTCAAATACTCCAGTATTAAGAAGCTTTTCTTAATTTGAAGGCTAAAATCAGAGAAGTAAAAGGGTGACGTTTGTTTGATTAACTGTTAATAGTTTTATTTCCTGATTGGACATGTTAAAGAATTAGGTACAAAAGTGGATGATTAAGGCTTAATGCTTTCAGCTTGACCCAGACTTTTGCCACTCTCAATAACTGCCTGACTGAACATTTTCTGGACACTTTAAAGCTACATTTGGGTCATTCAAACCTCAGAGAGGGCTTGAGCCAGGTGCACAGGGGTTCTGGCTGAGTTGGTGCTGTTCTTTTTTATTGCTTTTGTATGCATGTAATGGGCAGCGGTCAGATGATTTTTATATGTAAAGTGCATCATGATGTGTCTAAATGAAATTAAAATTTCTGGTTAAATAAGAGCGAATGGAAGAACAGTTTCCCTCCAGGCAGAGAACTCCAAGAAATCAAGTCAAAGTCCATTTTCTCTCATCTCATTTAATAACGGAAATATACTGACTAATTCAGTAACCTTCTAAAATACAAAATACGGAATATAAGGAATCCTGGTGTTGCACTTTAATAGAATAATTTAAGATTTACAAGGTTGAAAAAAAAACGTGATCCTAGCATAAAAGGTGAAGTCCTAACCAGAACTCTGGGACAGCTTTCATCCTGCTATCCATAGCTTTAAGTGGACAAGAGATCACATGACTCCCCCCTGGATATGGTTAGCTGCAGGGATAAGTGGGCCCCACTTATACAGATGTACAGCTGGGTGTATTGAAGAAACTCGTGTAAAGTGCTTTGTTCATGGGTGCAACAGTGTCTGCAGAGGGGAATCTGAACCCGTAACGTGTCAGTCAAGTGACCAAACGCTTACCCAGTACACTACAGTGCCCCAATGTTAGCCTAAACTAAAGATATTTCTATCGCTTTTTCCTTGTTGGTGTCTATATAATCAACATTCAAGCCATGAAGTCTGAACGAAAAGTCCCTGGCAGGAATAAAACAAAAGATCGAGGCAATAGCATGAGAGGGATAAAACTCTGGTGACGTATTGATCAGGGAAACCGGAGTGGCAGTTATTGAGCCTAGATGTCCAGCTAACCTTGTAAGCTGATTGAAGCCAGACACAGAATACACAGCTAAGTCCTGTCTTCCCTGGCTCCAGAGTCTTCTGATGTCTGCTGAGCACAGCGATGCATTTACCTCTTCTTCGGCCAAGGGCGGGTGAGAGCAGATCTGACACACAGGCATTCAAAATTGTATTACATCAATTAAAGAGACTTAGGTTTTGTTGCTCAGACAATGTAAGCACCTATGACAATGACAAGATTGAAAGAAAACCTCAATATTTTTTTTCATTTCTAAATAAGCATGTTTCCCCATCAGAAACGTGTCACTGTTGTAATCTTGTTCTGAAAGTGTACAAGGTAAGAAGAGCAACTGAACATTAGAAATCCGAGTGTGCTTTTCTTTGCGAACCACTGCAGTGCAGTCAACTCATTTGCATCCTTGAACATTTCAGTTTCAGAATGCTTTACAGATGTTTTCCAATCAAGATGAGTGACTTTGCTCTAATTGAGCCCATTTGACTTGAGTAGGTGCAGGTATCAAGACAGAGTTGCCTGTACAGTCTCTCTAATGGCAGTGTTCATTCCATAGCTTATGGCTGTAAATTCCACCGTTGCCCAGCGACAAAATAAATCAGCACTGATTCAAAGTTTTATCTGAATTGAGTTTTTTTGTCCTGTGCCATGGTTGGTTTCAGAATGGCCACAATCTGCCCGAACTAATTCTTTGGTAGCAAAGTAAAAGTATGTTTTCAAGTACCCGCATTAAATCTTCATTCAGGATTTCTTTCAGGAGAATTATGCAAATTAAATATAGCTTGTTTTAAAATGTCTGCAAAATTTATGAAAGTGTAAAATGTACAAAAAATCGACACTGATTTTCATAGTATCTGATTGCTGTCTTTTTGAGCAGAGAGGTTGTGTTTTCACCTGGTCAGAACCTGAGAGTATTTGGCCAGGAGATTTGCTGGGATAGTGGCCATGTGAAGATGCTAACGGTGTCCTTTCTTCCTCCTCTTCCTCCTGCATGTCCGCCGGCGCCCTGGGCAAAGGTTGTGGAGCCTGGCTGATCACGCCCTCATCGCACGCTGCAACATGGAGGAGGCGGTGCGCAGCGTGGCCTTCAGCAGCGACGGCTCCCAGCTGGCCCTGGGGATGAAGGACGGCTCTTTCACTGTGCTGAGAGTCAGGTGAGAGCCGACAGCCACACTGCACACTGCACAGTCAGGTGAGAGCATTGAGCCACACTGCACACTGCACAGTCAGGTGAGAGCCAACAGCCACACTGCACACTGCACAGTCAGGTGAGAGCTGTCAGCCACAATTCACACTGCACAGTCAGGTGAGAGCCGACAGCCACACTGCACACTGCACACTGCACACTGCACAGTCAGGTGAGAGCATTGAGCCACACTGCACACTGCACAGTCAGGTGAGAGCATTGAGCCACACTGCACACTGCACAGTCAGGTGAGAGCCGACAGCCACACTGCACACTGCACACTGCACACTGCACAGTCAGGTGAGAGCATTGAGCCACACTGCACAC